GCAGCTGAATGCACATCCAGGCCTTTTGTCAGCTGCAGAGCCCGGCTGGGCTGGGTGCAGCCAGGGCTGGGACGGGCTGTTTGTTGTGCCTTTGTCAGAAGCAGAGGTGACTTTGCTCCCACGTGGGACAGCAGGCAATTTTAAATTTGTGTCTCTTGCTGACAGTTGCTTGCTATGCACTGGCTCAAAAGCTTGCTAAAACCATGCCCTGAGAAGGGGTTAAGATCTCTGGAAACACACCACACACATCCCCCCTTCCAGTGAGAAACTGCAAGGAAGCCCTATATGCAGTGAGATCATTATTACCACACATGTCAGACAGAGAAGGAAACACCCAAATCAGTTTAATCAGGTGACAGGAGCTACTTTACTGTCGAGGTGGACCAGGAGTGGGCACACAAGGCATCAAGTGGGTGTTTCATACACCGCGTTACCCTCAAGCTGATGGCATTGTTGAGCAAATTAATGGCTTGATCAAGAGACATGCCAATGTTGCATGACCTAACTAGGATATAAGGTAGGCACAAGCGGTTTTTGTTATTAATAACTGCTGGAGACATTATGTGAACCCAAAAATATAAGCATTTTCTCCTATGGGATTATCAGGTGATGATGCTCATATATTTGACAATCATAAGGGCCAGTTCCCCCTAAAAATATATGCAGGCTCACCTGCCATGGTGAAGTTGCCCTTAGCTGGCATTGTGCCTATGACCTTGGTAAAATCTAGGGGGTTTACATGCCTGGGAGGCCTTAGATAAAGGTGGAAAAACTCAATCAGTGACTGATGGATAATCCCTGATTTCTAACTTGATGCCTGAGTTCTGATCGGAGGCTTAGTTCTGTTTTTTTTGTTAGGATCTTGAAGGAACAGATGACTTTGGCATCCTGTTTGGCCATGTGGATCCATGTGGACAATCAAGACTCAGATGTCAACATGGTGGTGAATGAAACTTGTGAAATTGGCAGCATTCAGAAGAATGTGATTGAACTTGGCTCTATAGTGTTAATGTCACTTTAGGTCAAAAAAATGAAGAAAGTGGTAAGAGATTTGAGGCAATTGTTGGTATATTAAGCATTAATTGGTTAATTGGATATGTTTGAATCTTCCTTGTTAGAATGGTTAATCAGCCTCCTTCAATATTGATTCTAATACATTGTGTATGGTTGGAGGGTTGGTTTCTTCTAACATTTCATTGTATAATCATCTAGGGATGACAATCCACGAGTATAGAGATTTGCCAGGACCACTCTTGCTTTTAACCTTGGAGGCAAGAGGTGACTACACCGCCACTTCAAAGAAACCAGCCAAATCATGACTGTAGTCATGAGGTGGATTGTGGCAGGTGCATCTGCCCAATGAAAGCAGAGTTTCTTGGCTGCTGAAGTGCAGCAGCTCCTGGCTGCCTTTGTTTTCAGAGCCTTGCGGTAGTTGGGACCTTTGGCCAATGGGAGCCACCATTGACTACAGGTCAGATTCGGCCTGAGTATAAATGGAGTCACCTGGGGGAGCCATTTGCAGCTCTTTCCTTGGAGCAGCAGTTGCTGTTGCCCAAGGAAATGCCTCAAGGTGCCTTGTGTCGGGATGCTGCCCTGAGCAGGTCCTCGAGGTTGAGAGCCCTCACTTGTCAGGTGACTGATAAAGCGTTTGGGGTTGCCATGTAACCCCAGGGAGTGGTGCTTTGTTCTGAGTTTTGGGTTACCATTAAACCCTAGCAAGCTGTTCTGTTCTCCTCTCACAGATGTTCAAACCTGTAATTTATGGAGAGCTAGTTAACTGTGTTACTAATTTTTTTTTATATTTTGTGGTTTGTTGTTTATTTGAGAGCATCTGTAACACTCCAGCAACAGGTGAGCAACTGAGATCAGTCTCACAGGAAGGGACTGGCTTGTGGGAGCAGGGAACCACAACAGCTGGGGCCAAGAAGGCTTGCAGTGCAAAAACCAAACCTGGTGTGGGCCCCGAGCAGGCCCTGAGAGGTCCTCTGCCTCTTGGCCAGGGACATGCCAAGCCACAGGGCTGAAGCCCTCCGGGAGCCCCCAGCACAACACGGGGCCTGCCAGAGGCTTCCTCAGCCCAACGTGCTGCCCGGAGCAGTCCTGCGAGGCTGGAGTCCTTCCAGAGGAAGACAAGTCCAGCAGGACACTGCAAGGTCCCCCCAAGCCCCTGCCCGCTTAATTGTGCTCCCGGCCTTGTCGTTTCCAGGGAAGGGGACAGAAGGACTCATCTTCCATAGGGACAGACTGCAGGGGAAAGGAAACATTCTGCAAAGACTACTTGCTCTGCTGGATTCAGGACATAATCCAGCTGCTCAAATGCTGGAACCTTTTGAAACTCCACTGCCTGAAAGAGATCCAGAACAGGTACTATGAGAAGGCAGCACAAGAGAGGAGAGGAGAGCCGAGTCTAGATCCCTGCGCACCCCAGCTAGAGCGTGCGCCTGGAGAACTGGCAACACAAAAGGCAGCGGTGCAAGTGAGTGCTGCTGTGCATGCGGGGTGTCACCTGAGGCAGGAGACAACAGGCATCTGTGGCTGTGAGGTGCCCCAGTGTGGGAGGCATCGGCCTGTCAGCCTTACACAGCCTCTGAGAAACTGCTAGGCTTTGGTGGAAAACAGGCCTTGGAAGATAGATAAGAAACTGCTGAGTTGTGCCAAGGTGTCAGGGAAAAACAACGGACAGCTGCAACACTGAACTGTGGAAAAGTACTAAACTGTGAGAAGTTACCGCCGCGTGAACAGCACGTGAACAAGAAGGTGATTGGTCTGCACAGCGCATGTTAGAGTGTTCTTATGCTGACAGGAGAAAGGATTGATAGCTGTCTAATTGCTGATTTGCTATTTATGAATTAAGAGCTTTGGTGAGAGCATAAGTATGTACTATTGTAATAATAAAGTGTCTTTCCTTTTGCACTTCAATGGAGAGTCTGTGCCTCAGTTGACACAAATGGTGCCATGTGTGAGTGGGGAATAAGCGTGATCAACTTGGATCGCTCCGGTGGCAATCCCCACAGAACTTAAGTAGCTGCTGAAAGGAAGCAGAAGCCAGCAATCAATCACCATTGCAGTGTGAGCAAGGTGAGCTGTGGGAAGTGATGTGTAGGTTAATATCCTTGGAAGAAAAGTCAGTGCTTTCACTGATGGAAAGACTGTTTGCTAAATATAATGTTCATATTAACTTGCATGCCTTGAAGAGAATTTTAAAGTGGGTAGCAGCCGCATTTACTATATTCACTGTTCTAATATGGGATAAAACAGGAGTAAGATTATGGGACCTTGCAACGCGAGGGTATCAGGTTGCGGCAGAACTCTTACATGCATGGAGAACTCTCTTTGAGATAATGACAAAATAATGAACACAGCCAGGCTGTTAACACAGAGAACACAGAAGGTGAGGACACCTATTTTGAATCTCAGGAGCAAGATTTATATGCTGGGTCTTTTGACTGTGATAATCTTTTAGACCCTGACACTGTAAATCCTAAAAGAGAATCTGGCCTGTGTCTTCCCTTACCTGGGGATGATGTGTGGGTAAAAGTGAGGCAAGAAGCCTTGGCACAAGGGGATATGGACATGGCAAGAAAGACTCTTGCTCCTTTAATCTGTGAACTGGGATGTCCTCCATGTTGGGAAGGACTGCATTTTTCTGTTATTAAAGAACTACAGAAAAGCGTTAATGAGGACGGGCTTCAAAACTAATTTACAAGAGGTAATTTGTCATTTTATGTTGTGTCAGTAATAAGTGTGAGGGGCCTCTTTCTGTGGTTGTGTGATTGTTCCGCGTGAGTGAGACGCAGCCCAGCTGCAGCTGCGCAGTGCGGAGTTATCTGACCCACAGTTCTGTTATCCCGGCAGGGAAGAGGCTGGAGAGGAATGAAGCGCAGGTCAAACTCTGTACGGGGGGGTGGTAGTGCAGGACAAGTGAACATTCCTTAGTACAGAGCCCTAGTGCCCACCCGCTGGGTCATCAGTGCTGACTGTTTGTTTGGGCTCAGTGTTTTAAGTTTCACAGGTGAAATAATTCCTCTAGCAGGAGGCAGTAATTCTGTGTTAATTGTTATCTTGAATTTAGGTGCATACTCTGTGGGGAGAGCGCACCTCTGTACCATCTGCCTGAGGGGGATATTGTCAGGTCATCTACAACCTTACAGGGGTTGTTCGTTTTACCAGGGGTCATAGATGCTGATTATGAAGGGAAAATCAGAATCATGGCCTGGACCCCTGGACCCCTGTGTTCAGTAACAAAGGGGTCAAAAATTGCTCAGCTTGTTTATTTTTTCTGCGGTTCCCCCTAATTTTGGGGATTCAAGAGGACTTTCTGCGAGAGAATAGACATGTGAGCAATCCTGCATGAGAACAAGACTGATAAGAGCCTCAGCCTGAGCAAGAATGCGATAAGGACGTAACCCTGAATGAGGGGAGAGAAACTCTACGAGACAACCAACCCCCAGAAGGGGTTGGGATGGAAGAGGAAGTTACACAAGGCACTTTTTATCCAATCATAAGAAGGTTTAAAGTGCGGGCTAAGTTAACTGTCCAATCTTGAGGACTTGTACTGCATGTTACTCATGTATGCGGGAGAACATTATAAAAGGGCTTTCTTAGTTTTAATAAACAGGCATTGCTTGATCACATTGGTCATGTGCGTGCTCAGCTTTCCCGCACCTAATAGTATGCTGAGAAGCCACAGTGACTCAGGATTTGGACCAGCAGGTACTCCTCAGATATTTTGGGCTCAGACAGTGACACAAGGTTGACCTCAGGTAAAATGTGCCCTCACTAAAGCAGAAGAGTCTGTTGAGCTGACAGGCATTTTAGATACTGGCGTGGATGTGACCGTAATATCTGTGAGCAGACTGGCCATTAGCTTTGGTAACTCAAGGGCTTTTCACGGTTAGTGGTCATGCTGTAACATTTCAAAGCAAAGATCTCATTCATGTAAGGGGCCCCGAAAACTGTGTAGCAAATATTCATCCATTTATATTGGAAACCCCTATTACATGACTGTATGGCTCGATGGGGAACTCAAATAGGATCGAATTTGTCTTAATTGCCACTGCAGCGCAACACACCCTGAAACCTACCCTGAAACTAACCTGGAAAACAGAATCACCTGTGTGGGTGGGTCAGTGACCCTTGCCAAGGGGAAAGTTGTGCCACCTCAGTGCAGGACAGATCATACCTACCATCAGTCCTTGGAACTCCCCGGTGTTGGTTATTTTAAAGAAAAGTGGCAAATGGTGACTTTTACATGATCTGTTATTGAATGGACTTGTTTTGGGGACACCAAATGCACAAGACGGTCACTACTTGTTCATAAATGTTTGCCAAACTGATCATGAAAGGTAGGCAGCACCTACTATTACTTGCTGGTCAGGAACCTGTGTGTATCATTGTTCTGGTTACTATTCACATGTTATAGTGGCTCATACAAGTGTCTTCGAGCAAGCACGGCTTTCACATGCTTTTTTTGCCACCGAAACACCAAGAAATACAAAACCAGGTTTCTTTATCAAGGCATCAGCTAAGGACATCATTGCAACTTGCCCTGAATACCAGAAAGACTCCCTCTCTTGAACAGCCAGTGGTGTCAACCCTCAGGGACTCACCTCCTCAGAATTATGGCAATATGAAGTCACTCACTTTGCTGCATTTGGAACGTTAAAATATGTACATGTGTCTGTTGATGCCTTCTCTGGAGCAGTGTTTGCATCCTGCCATACAGTGGGGAGTCAAGCATCTGACTGGCATTCCCCACTCACCGACTGCACAGGCCATTGTGGAGCATATGCCTGGCAAGCTAAAGCATCTACGACAACAAAAAAATAAAGGGGGAGAGGGAGGGTATCAATCTACACTTCACAAAATGGCACAGAGCACAGGCATCTAACACTGGCCTGCACAGCCACCCTGCCAGGGTCACAGCTGTGAGGTACATGGCGAGTGAAATGTGCCAAGAGGAGCAGCCCACGTCCCGGCAGGGTACAGTATCCCGCTGAGGATCACAGGGAGATGCCCATGTCACAGTGAGGGGGCAGCACTTGCTCATACCCAGGACATTGTGGGTCAGGTCCCCCATGAATAATTCTAGATTAATCCCATTATTCCTTGTTCTCACAATTTAAGGTCTTGGTCAGAGGGAGTGCATTTGTGGCTTTCCCCCTAACATGGCCTGCCACTTTGCCCCCAAGAGGATCTGGAGCGCAAGCGTGTCACAGCGGCCCACCTGGGGCAGAGCGCTGAACACAGCCTGCCTGGAGCTCTGGGCACAGCTCCTTCTCGCTGACCAGTTCAGGGCACAGCCCAAATCAAGTGGGACACAGTTCCACGCCACTGCTGGGCTCCTTAGACTCCTCATTCACAGCAGTTAAGAGCACCCACACGCAGCAGCGCTGGCTGGGTAACACAGCAAACACCTGCCTAAAAGCCCCCTACCAGCTTTGTTTTCTTGCACGCTCCCAGTCAAAGAAATATATACACCTGTCACACAAAAAGTGAATCTTCCGTCATCTACCAAGCCAGTCATTTCATCATAGACTGTTATTGGATTGTTCAAGCACAACGTCCACATCGTGAATCCATGCTGACATAGTGATTTTCCACAAAGTGGTTTATCCATTTGCTAAAAGCAATCTCACCCTTGTCCTATACTCCACTAGTGTCAATGCCACCCTGCCTGTAAGCTCTATTGACAAATTTCACTCTGTGATCTGTTCAAGAGACTTACTGGGAAGGGCTGAACTTGTCCTTCTCTCTGGTGTCCTGAGAACAGAGGCATTTCACATAAGCAACCCAAGCCATGTGTGCGCCAGGACTTGCTGAGGTCTAACTGGCCATCCAAAATCCAGAGCCACTGTATTCAGCACCTTCTTCTTCACCGAAGTTGTCTGTGCCAGGATCTTTTTTCCAGATTTGGCTTTGACTTGCAGAACTAAGACAATGTTGGCTGTTTGCTTCCACACTAGGACTGCAGCCAGCAGCATGCAGCACCAAACAGGAGACAAGAAACATCAGCATCTATTTTTTCTGTTTTTATTTACAGGGGAGATGAGGCCAGTACTTCATCTTGACGGCTGTCTTGGCTGCTTAAGCCGTGAGAAGCCTCACCAGTTCTGCAGGGCTTCAGTCCCTCTTGCCTATGGCTGTACCTAGAATTAGCCAGTGCCAGCCCTCGATTATGACATGCTAGACATGGAGTGTCTGTAGACAGGGAGGGGGATAAAGGGCTGCCATGTGCCCCCATCACAGATCAAGAAGTAAGGAGCTTGCCCTAGCAGGAGTCACTGAGGGAGGTGTTTCTTTTCTTGTTCTCCAGTTAAAAAAAAAAAAAAAAAAAGCAGCTTGTCTCAGCTCCCATGAGGCTGGAGAGCAATTGGAGTACTGAGTGTCTCAGGTCTTAAGCTTTTAACTATGCAGAGCAAAACCAATGCTCTGAAAAGTCTGAAAATCACCCGAGAAAGACTAAAGGTCCCTGTTCCAGGCTTCATGGGATGCCTATGGAACTTTGTTTCCAATGAGGCATGTCAGTCCCGGCAGCACGGGCCAAAGGATCTTTCCTGGCTCCCATCCCACCACATCCCCTTCCCTGGCTCCCACCAAGCCCCTGCCCCAGCCCAGCTGCCCTACCTTGCTCTACAGGCATCCCCAGACCTGCAGTAGAGCCCCAGCAGGCTCTCCTGAGACACAGCTGTTGCAGCACTACCAGGTTAGGGATGAATACTTCTCACCCTGGGCAAGGGAAGGGCATGCCCTGGGGATGACAGACTGCGAGGACACAGTGTCCTTCACTAGGACGCAGTGCAAGGGACACAGGCCAGGCAAGAACTGAAATGCTCCAAAAAAGGGAAGCAGAGGACTCCTGGCCATCCAGTTTCATGCTACTCAGCTGGAACCTGTGGATGTCCTATATGGGGATGCTAGGTAGCCCAGAGAGTGCTACACGCTGCTGCCGCCCCCCTCAGACAGGCTGTCTTTCATCATCTATTGCCCCTTTCTTTCAGAAGAGGCTGGTTCTCTCTTAACCATATCCTACATCCAAGAGCAAAACCGTTCCATGTGAGCAATGAGACACACACCTCTGGCCTTCTGCAAGCCAACCTCCAGGCTTAGGGTTGAGCCCAGGGCTTGGCTAGGAGTCCCACCACCCTCATAGCCACTGAGCTCCAGAGGGGTTGAAGGTATGCACGTGCCATCCACACCCAAGCCAGGCAGTTAGACTGCTAAAGACACAAGCTGCTGTGTTTATATGATCACATACCCAGCATCACCTACCAGGTCCTTGCTGGAGGGTGTGGCAGTAGACCCACACATGTGGTGGGAAGGGGTGTCAGACACAGAAAGGGATGCTGTTGAGGGACTGAGACCTGGAGACGCAAAGACAATCAGAGGAGGTATTATACATCATTCTCCCAACTCTAAGTGGTATTGTGCAGTACCTGCCAGCCAAAACCAGGCTGCTCGAACCTGAATAGCAATGGCAGGAGGGGGCAACCCCAGGCCAGTCACAACATCCAGGCCACACTCAAGCTGCCACCTCCACCACAGCTCGTCCCTTCCCTGGGATGGAGACCACTTCAATACTAAAGCAACCGTTGAATGCTCTTCCTTCCTTACCGCCTTTGAGGTGAAGATCCTGACACCAACATCTCCCAGGACCTTCTTCCCAGCCCCCTCCCAGCAACACTGAGCCTGGCAAATACCTTATGGCAAGTAATTTTACGTTATTCTGCATTTACACAAAAATAGAGCAGTTCTGTATTTATAGAGATTTATAGCCGGGTCCGTGCTGGAAGAGTTACTGAGCAAGGCCAGGAGCTGTGGGCGGTCCAGGCTCCCGAGCAGCCGGCTGCTTCTCATTCAGCATTTCCAACATACAAAATTAAAGGCATTCATCTCCGTCTGGTTTCTTAAATAGATAAGGGGGGAATGAATGGACAGTATGTACAGAGGGGCAGTGGCAGGGCCCAAGTGCCCTCCGCCCCCAGCCTCCCGCCTGCCGCCTGGGGTCAATGAGGCCGGCTGCTGGACTCTGAGGGCTGCCGCTGACGGGGAGGAGTGTAGCCATTCAGGTAGCCGTTGCTCTGGCGTTTGCTGAGTCCTCCGTTAAGAATGTCCTGGATATGCTGCACTATCAGGTTTATGGCCACTGTGAGCAAAAGGGAGGGAAAGACACAGAGGAGAAACTGCATTAGGATAAGTGCAATTACACCAGAGCCAAGCCAGAGATGATGACGCTGCTGTCTCCCCTGCTCCCATCTCGGTGGGGAGCCGCAGCCCTGCGGGGAGGAGCTGTCCCGCTGAACTCCATCCCTTTGTCCCAGCTGAGCCCAGTACTCAAGCCAGCATGGTGAGGCTGATTCCAGCCAGGTAGAGACCTGGCTGTCCCAGCTGCATGTCTGGCCTTGGAGAAGCACATTTCCCTTCGTGTGGGATGAACCAAGAGTTTGCCTGGAGGCACTGCACATAGATGGACTCTCAGGCTTGATCAGAGGAGCACAAACTCCCAGTTACTAATGCTCCAGGCAGGAACAAAGGGGAGAGGCTCATCTCAGCACACGTGTGGTAACAGCACTCTCTCAGGTGGCAGTGGCCTGAGTCACCTTGTGGCAACTCCTGCTACCTCGTAGCTAACTGCCACAACAGCCCAAAGCCTGCTGCCAGGACATAGCAACAGGGTCTGGGTCCACTCACCTTCATTATCTGCTCCTCTGGGAATGATGACATCAGCATACTTCTTGGTCTGGAAGGAGAGAGAGCACTGTGTTACAGAGAAAGTGGAGAGCCACCAGGCTGGGGCATTGTCCCTGCTTCCTGGGACAGGTCTTTCCCTTCCCCTTGCAAACCCAAACCCACTGGGAGGTATGTCGTTGCTGATAATACATTTTGGATGCTCTTATTTGTCTTCCACTGTGTTTAGAGGGCCATGCTTTCCACCTTGACTCCATTTGCATGAGCTTCTACAGATTCCAGTAAGAGGAAGGAAGAGGCACCCTAACAAAACCTGAAATTAAAAAGCCTCACTACTGCAAGACTCCAGCAGTTGATGCTTTTGGCAACAACCTCCCCCTGAATCCACCCAGATTTGGTACAAAAGCAAGAGTTGGCATGTCTGGGGTATATGGACATGCAGGGCGCAGCCGTATGATCTGCTTGGGATGTGGGGAGAATTTTCTACCAGTATCACTTGAAAAAAAGGTCTGATTCACAACACCAATCCTGACCTATTTTCACCTGCAGGTGCTAGTCTCAGTTTCCTCCCCTGTGTCAGCTTTTATGGCCGATCAGCTTCCTGACAGCCAAGTTCTACCAGCCATAAACAAGCCAGCCTGCTGGGCGAAGGGTGTCATCTGACACCTCCAGGTGCTTCCAGACATATCAAAAATCACCAGGACATGCTGGATCTTCATTGCTGGACCACCTGGCCCAGAGCTGGTTTAGGAGTTGAGTAACAGAAACAGTGAATACTGAGCCTTCTCAGTACCCACACGCAATTGCTCTGCAGCTGAGCCCACCACCAGGTTGGAAGTGGAAGCAGACCACTGCAAAGCTGGTGGGTAGGGGCAAAGCAGTTGTTTTCTACCTTCCTCGTTTCACATTTCATTCTCCTACAGACTCTTCAGCAGAACAGACTGATGCAGCATCTTCTGCTTTGCAAAGCTGCAGATTTACCTTGCTGGAGAATTGCAAGGAGGGGAGCCATCAAGCTGGACCTGCCTCTTAGGAAAAGCCTTTCTGGAATTACACTAGAATTGGGCTTTGGTTCCCAGAGCCACAACTGAGACAGAGAAAAGGGTGCTGCCTGGGAGCCAGGAAAAGATCTTGTAGCACAAAAAGAATGAGCCCCTCTTACGGTAAAGGGCAGAGCTGGCTACATAGACAGGCAGAGAGATGTTCCTGAGGCTGGAGGCACAGGTTCAGTTCCTGCCTATGGTGCTGGCCAGCAGTTCCCAGGTTGCAGGACTCTGTTGGCTTAGTTCCTCCAGAATAAGAAGAAATTCCTCATATAACTATTTGAAAGTAACTCATGTAACTGCTTGCAAAGCCTTGAGAATCAAGGCTCAGGGTCCTCTCTATGAGAGCCAGGAAAGGTGTGCAACAGCTAGTCCTGCAAATGCACTATTTCACCTGCAAGTTTTGCATGACTGCAGTGGTCTCCCACATGCAAAGTCCCTGTCTACTACGGAGCCTTGCCTCAGTTATCAGATCCCAAAGTAACTTTCTTTCTCCAGGCAGACTTTGCAGCCTTGACCCTGAGTAATGTCTGTCTACTCTACACCTTGGCCTCTCACCACCCAGGAAATGCAACCTCTAAGGCCATGTCCTGCAGCACAGAGTGAAGAAAGAAGCTCCTCTGCTCTCCCAAGCACCCAACCAACAGCACAAAAAAGGCAGGCAGGACAGCCCCAAACAGAAGGCAGACACTGCCTGAGGGCAGGGATCTCCCCTTCCCTTGGCTAGATGCAGGCGAGGATCTTCCCTCCCAGGGTGGCATATACTGATCTGCCTGGTGATGGTTTGTCAGACCCAGTGCAGGGAGGGGCTTCTCTTGCCATGTCCAGGTGATCTCACAAGGAAGGCAAGCTGCTGGATAAATAGTCCCCATCTCACCCTGCCCTGGCCAGCACTGGCACCCCCATTTTTGCCATTGCCTGCAAGGAGGAGCAAGGTGAGGCAGGCTAACCTGAGCTCTGGGGCACAGAATGCTCCTGTCTGAGGAGCTGGGCAGGGTATGAGGCATTTTTGGCAGACTCTCACAGGTGTCACTCCCCTTACTTACTGGCAAACAGAACTCCTCAAAGGCAGGCTTGACGAAGGTGATGTATTGAGATAAGATCTGCTCGAGGTCCCTGCCTCGCTCACTGATGTCTCGTAGCACTGCAAGATGTAAGGCACAGTCAGAAGCTGAGACATGAATCGCTCCATCCCTCTTCCCTTCAGTACAGCCTTTGGCTAGCCACCCAAGTATTTTGCTCGAGGTCTCCATTCCTGGAAGCTGCTGCCCACAAGTCCGAGCACAACCCAGACCAGCTACATGCTTTTAACCCACTTCCAAGCTTTCCCTGGAGCCAAGGGCTGGCTGACCTGATCAACGACTTTTCTTGGCCTCCCTCCCTTCTCAACTCTGCAAGCACATTCCAGCTGTAATCAGTGCCACGCCAGTCCTGACTGTTCCCAACCTCAGCCCTTGCATCCCTCCTGTCACTCTGCCCTGCCCTCGGCCTAAGGATGGGGCATTCTCCTAGTTGTCCCAAGGCAGAAGTGCCCGAAGAATGGAAAAGTAGTGGGGTTCACCCACACACACATTAGGGTGCAGTTTAAAACTCAGGTCTGCAGAGGCGAGGAGAGCAAAGCTCACCCACCTAACCAGCTCTGCCAGGCTCCTTGTGCTGTCCCCAGCTGAGTGGGATGGGAAGGCAAAGCAGGCTCCCATAACAGGAGGCTGAGGGAGTGCATGAAGGAGATCAGCTCAGGAGGAAGCCAGAAGGCAGGAGAGCAAGCTAGTCTCCTGCTTGTTCTGCTGTTTGGGCTTTACACTCAGTTTCTATGAGGTATTTGGGCCACTGCCACCTCTGGTCTGAAGCCACTTCAGCATGGTGTGCCCTAGTTCAGCAGAAATTCAATCCATGGGTAGGAGCCAAAACAGCCCAGTGGCCAAGCAGACAGCTCTTTGCTCTCCCCAAGGGACTGGCTGGCTTCTCCCCAGCACACTAGCGCCTGGCACTGTGTTTGGCATGAGCCTTCTCCACGTGCCGAGCAGAGCCAAGCCACGGCACTGCCAGCCTGTGTGACCTGCTTAGCAGCCATTGCCCATGTGCTTGCAGGGCCAGGACAGTGCTGTTCTCTCAGTGCTGGTGTGGCACCATCCCCATGGCTCTGTTTGCCCTCGGCCAGCAGCTTCACTGCGTGCCTTTTTGCAGCCCTGCACTGGGGAGGTGATGGGGGGAAGAAAGGGCTGGTAGCAGGGTGTGTCAGCTCCCTACCTGCTCCAGGAACGGCTCAGCACAGCCCAGGCTGCTCTAGCCAGCTCCTTGCCTTCTCCAGAGAGCAGGAGCAAGCCCCAGCTCAAACAATACAGAGAAACAGGCAAGGAAAATAAAAGAGAAACTTTTGTTTCTCAGGTTCCACACCCTGTTCATTGGCTACTCTAAGGCAGGGAAGGAGCACAGTGAGGGTGTATTTGCAGCCCACCAGGCCTGGGATGGCATGTGGGAGGCCTCTGAGCTGCACAGGGTTAGTGCCCAGGCTGCAGGGGCTGGTCCTGACACAAAAAGACTCTTTTGCCCGCTCCCAGGGCAGACCACAGCAGGGCAATCACCCCACACAAAAACATGAGTTTAACACCCACAGTCTTGTACCTGGCCCCAAAGCAATGGGTCTCAGTAACCTGGGCTGGGACCACACACCCTATCTGGAGGGATCACCCTCTACTTGCAAGGCAGGCAAATGTCCCATGGACAGATCAGCACCCATGAAGAGTCAGCAGGCAGATATGACTCAAAACAGGCAGTTTTTGAGGTCTTTGTTTTATGGAAGCTGGCCAAGAACAGGACAGCAAGGGACCTCAGCCAGAATCAGCTTTTCATGGATCAGGCTTTCTGAGGCAGCTCACAGACCTTGCCCCTTGCACTCTGGTAGCAGCGTTTTTCTTGGGAGAGGTGCTGAGATGGGGACAGTGCAAGCTGCACGCACTGAACCCCAGCACTACTGATTAACTGAGCTGTCAGCTACATTTCCATGAATGTCACATCCCACTGCTGCAACTCTTCAGGACTTCTGGGAGAGCAAGATGACTCAGGGCCATGTCACAATGCAAGGTCCTGACTTTTGCTTACAAGCTGCCTCCAGTTACGTTCCAGAGACATGATTATACCTTCAGCATCTCACACACAGTCTCTCCTTCCCCAGAAATGCCAGACATACAGTTAACAGATTCACTGTTGCACTGGTCCTACCAACTGCTGACAGCAGGCCGAGAGACTGACAAGCAGTCAGTTCCCTATCAGGAGACTGAAGAGCTGCCCTAACTAGGAGACCCCAGCACCTCAACCAGCCTAGCTGCCCATTTGCAAGGCTTTAGTGACTGACAGTGGGTGGGAGAAAGACCCCAAGAGTGGCCTGGGCCTTGGGGTTCTGGACCCTGTCCAACAGCTGCAGCACAGCAGGGTTTAGCTCTGTATTGTAGTGGGCAGCTAGATGGTCTCTGTTTGTAGTCAGTGGGATCTCAACCAGTTCTCAAGGCCTGAGCTCATGGTTTTGTACCAAGTCCGAAGTGACTGAATCACACACTCTAGAGTACAATTGGGGTGCACACACAGTCACATGGCATTGCATATGCACATGGCAACACCTTGCCTTCAGACAGCCAATACAGGGCACTGTCAAGTACATGGCTGAGTGTGAACCCAAGTTCCAGTACAGCACAGGATTAGGCTTAAGGGATAAGGCTCATGTTGCAGGATCTTGCAGATGCATATCTGTGACCTGCTAACACATCTCCCTGCATGACTGTGCTGTCACCTCCCTGGATGAGTCATGCGGGAACAGTGGGCAGGGTCAAGAAGGATGCATAAAAAGGAGCTTTTAGTCAGCACTGATGACATCCCAACAGCTGAGGAGGCTGTGTGTCTGTCTGACAGCAGGAGGGCAGGCCACACCAGTTCCATCACAGTGGAACAGTCCCATGCACACCAGCAGTCCCAGGCTGACGCACTGAGACATGCTCCTGTCGTCACAGCACGGAGTTCTGGACAGGATCTCTTCTCTTAAGTCATCTCCTGCATCCTCAGACACCCTGTTGTGGCTGTCAGAGCCAAGCAGGGGTAGGGACAGTCCACACAGAACTAAATTCTGCCCCAGGAGTCCCCAAATGCTTTCTTAGTTACCCAGGAGACTCAGGTGCTACATCAGTGATCCCACTCCTAAAGGCTGCTTTGAAATGAACAGCATCTCAAGTCATGCAGAGCCGAGTCCCCCCTATGTCAGCTGGCAACCCACAGCCAAGCCAGCTGGTCATGGGGAGTCCTAGAGAGGGATATTCTGGTTTCTAGGGCTCTTTGCCCCTAAAGCCATCACCCCAGTGGCAGGTACCGCAGCCAAGAGGCTACATGCTGCACTGGCTGTGCTTGCACAAACCAAGATGTACAACCAGACTTCTTATCTGCATCATCCATGATGGACACCCTCACATCCAAACGCCAGGTCCTGAACAGATCTATCAGGCACTGCCTTCTGACTGAACTGCCAAGATGCTTCACCTTTCCCATCGCACCCTTCCCTGCTGGTACCTGCTGACCGGCAGTGGCTGCTGTTCAGCTGATGGCACAAGGATGCTGCCACAAGGACACGTGAGGACACAGCATGCTCAGTAGTCACACTGCTGCCTCCATCAAAGGAGGAATCCCAGACAAGGCAGAAAAACCCCCACTGAATCCTATGAGACATGGTACAAGGTGCTCTCCATTGCTATAAGCTTCCCTGGGTGACATTCTGCGCTGGGGAGGAAAAGTTCCCTGGCTACTTTGCTCGCAGCAGCACAGCTCTGTGCTAATTCCAGTTCTGCTCTAGTCACCGTCACCTGCCTCTGCAACCGGCTGCCCAGATCAGTTAAGTGACACTTCTGTCCCTGCTGCACAAGGTATGCTCAGGCCTCACCTCTGCGGGACAGCCGGGTGTCTGCATCCGTGTCTACAAAGAGCTTCATGCGGAAGAGATCCCGCACCTCCTGGCTGTAGAAGGCCAGGATGCCTTCGAAGAGCACCACATCGGCAGGGTAGACAGTCACCGTCTCCTCTTTCCTAGCAGAAGGAAGAAGAATCAAAATATGCTGGGGGGGGGGGGGGGG